CTGTCTGTGTGTGTGTGTGTGTGTGTGTGTGTGTGTGTGTGAGTGAGTGTGTGTGTGTGTGAGTGTGTGTGTGTGTGTGTGTGTGTGTGTATACCTACTTAACCATATTTTGGGGACAAATTCGTACCCAAAAGTGAGCTAAACCTCATAAATACAAATATAAAATGTATAATTTATCCGTAAACCGGTTCATGTTTCTGAAACAAGATTGTTTTTGGTTTGGATCGACAGAGAGAGAGAGAATAAACCTTTAAAAATATATATTTAGAATTGTTTTTAGCTTTAATTTTTGTTTTTCATTTAAATGTTAAGTTTTGAAATTTTGTTGTATGCATTTGTCATTTTTATTTAATCTCTTTATTTTTTAAATATATATAGGTAGTATTTATAAAGTTTTAGCTTTTAGTTTTGGATCTGTTTTTAGTTGTTTTAATACTACAATTGATTGCTTCTGTTGTCCTCATTTGTAAGTCGCTTTGGATAAAAGCGTCTGATAAATGACTAAATAAATAAATAAACCTGTTTCAGACGTTCAGATGAATGACGTCACACTGCTGATCCACAGGAGAACCATGAAAGCTTCAGATCATTACAGAACGTCAAACACGTCGTCATAATAATATGTTCCTGATCACTGATTGATCCGGTTGAGTCCGTTGATCGTGACGCTCTGCTGTTTATATCCCACACTTCTGCTGATCAGAGGCCTATTTCAGGCTCAGATGAACCATAAGTAGTGAATTAATCTGATATTAAGAGCCTCATATTTTTATCATGGACTGGTGTTGATTAATGCATTAATTCAGGGATTGACAAACATTTTTGAACATTTAAAGTTAATATTACAATAATTTAATTTCATTTCTCTGATGTAGGTTAATGGTCGCATGACATGCAGGTAATCATTTTATTTGGATTGTTTTTATAATTATAATTATATATTTGATATATAATTCATATAATATTTTAAATATACCATTTATTTATTTATTTAATATTATTTAATTATTAAAAAAATTTTTACATTAATTTTATTAAATAATTATAATACATATAAAACATAAAATTTGTAGTGAATAAATGTTGTGTATAAATTATACGGAAGCATTTAAGTGCTTTCAATCCTTTGGACTGCATGTAAATTATGTAAATATGTAAATTTGGGTATTTAAATTCTGCAGGCCTGTTTACAATCATAAAGCGTTTTCATTATTATATACAATTTCAGGTGTTTATTTTATTAGATTTCAGTTTTAATCCATATTTTCAAAGAGTTTTTTTTTCTCTTACATACAGCAAACTTAGCAGTTTTATATCTATATTCTGGAGGTTTTTACTGAGGGGTTTGTTCATATTTCATTCACACTGATGCATATTTAACATTTTATTCTTTAAAAACATGGCAAAAATGTGTTTGATTTCTGTCTGTTGACAGTATTTTCTGATTTCTTTTCAGATTTATTGGAGAAAGCCAAAATCCCCTCTGGAAAAACCTTTAACTCTAACATGTCAACAAAATCAAACAATTTATTTTTAAAAATTGTAATATTTAAATATTTTAAAATATATTTCAAAAACTGGCCAAAAAATATATTTACTAACAAAAAGTTTACAAATATATTTTCATAAACATATTTTTTTACCAATATATTTTGGCCTCTTTTTAGTATATTTTTTGTAAATATATTTTTAAAAAGCATTCAAAATATATTTTGCCCTCCATATATTTCAATCCAAGAAAATGCATTGACATATGTCATATGTGAAGAAAATCTTTATTTGTTGTCTATAACAGATGTGAACATATAAACATTTGTATAAAAATAAATAACGAATTAAGCCTAAATGTATAACTGGATTTTATTTTTATTTTATTTTATAAAAAATTTTATATAAAAAATTTAAATATATTTTGTTAAGTTGAAAATAAATACATTTTAATTTTCAAAAATATATTTACCTTCAATGTTTACAACATATTGCATATTTTGCCAGAAAAAAAATCTCTATATGACTGATTTTATCCAAAATTCAGGTTACTGCTTGTATGCAAATGAGTGCATATTTAATAGGAGAATGTATCATTTGCATATTTAAACAACATTTCAGAAAACTTGTAATGTTTTTTTGCAATTCTCAACTGGGGAAGTAGCCTATAGTTATATTTATAAGGTACTTTTATTTTATTTTATTTTACCTGAGATATCTTGTCTCAGAAATCCTTGTTTTAAGAGACTTAAAACAACATTATATTTTATCATCATTAAGTTTACTATCATATTACTGTCACGTGCTCGCTTTAAACACACCGTAAGTAAGAACTGGCTCTCTATAGTGGATGTGAACAGAGTGCATTACTCTCCTCAGCCGCTAGAGGCCGCGGTTTGTCCCTCATCGCGCCCCGCTGGTAAAGCGCTTAATCCGCGGGGGGCGTCCGGTTGTCCCGCACCCGCCCGTGACACGGACTCTCGCGCTCAGCACGGCACGGAGCTTCTCCTCTTCACAGCTGATCGGTAACTCCGCGTCTGTCACATTTCCGCGAAGGCGTGTGTTGTAGTCGTTACCGGAGAGGAAGGACGCGCTTGCTTGGAGACGCCGGCGGCCCGTGCATGGACGCATCATGTCTTCGTTTGTGTGCCGGGTTCAGTTTCTAGACGACACCGATCCGTTCAACAGCACTAACTTCCCGGAACCGACCCGAGCTCCTCTCTACACCTTCAGGGAAGATATTGCTCTGATTAACCAGCTCGCAGGGGTCCACCGACTCCTCAAAGCCCCTCACAAGGTCAGATCACACTCAACAAGCGCGCACAAAGTTATCTCTATGCTTTTCATTTCACGATGATCGCGCCCCGCTGGTAAAGCGCTTAATCCGCGGGGGGCGTCCGGTTGTCCCGCACCCGCCCGTGACACGGACTCTCGCGCTCAGCACGGCACGGAGCTTCTCCTCTTCACAGCTGATCGGTAACTCCGCGTCTGTCACATTTCCGCGAAGGCGTGTGTTGTAGTCGTTACCGGAGAGGAAGGACGCGCTTGCTTGGAGACGCCGGCGGCCCGTGCATGGACGCATCATGTCTTCGTTTGTGTGCCGGGTTCAGTTTCTAGACGACACCGATCCGTTCAACAGCACTAACTTCCCGGAACCGACCCGAGCTCCTCTCTACACCTTCAGGGAAGATATTGCTCTGATTAACCAGCTCGCAGGGGTCCACCGACTCCTCAAAGCCCCTCACAAGGTCAGATCACACTCAACAAGCGCGCACAAAGTTATCTCTATGCTTTTCATTTCACGATGTAGTTTATATATATATATATATATATATGAGGTCAGTTGCATGAGTTTGTGGTTGTTTTAAAGCGCGACAGGTGCGGCACTGAGCCGCATTTAGAGCTGCTCATTCATTCTGATTTATGAGTCCGAGTTAACCCTGAAATAACAGTCAGAATAATAGAATTATTTCGGAACAGTTTACTGTAGCTTCAGACAAAACACAAAAGAAAATCATATTTGATGCATCAGGCTTTTACGGCTCGAATATGAAGCCGTGAAGATCATTCCACCGCTGAGGAACAGTGAAAGTAAAGCTTCTGGAAACAAACGCTCCTCCAAAGATCCTGAGGATCAGATTTGAGACTCTAAAACATGATTGATGGAGAATCAAGTAAAGCTGAGCTGCTTCAGTCCAGTAAGTGTTCATCTGGAGATATTACTGCAGTTATTCTGACCTTTACTTGATCAAAACCAGTCAAGATTTGACACGAGAAGCTCCAGCTGAAGCTGAACGTTTCTACAATTACACTAAAAGCTCTTTTACTGGATAAAACACTCAATCAGAGACAGAAGACATGAGGAGATTGTGTGTTTTGATCATGTTCATCATTTAGAGTCTTAGAAATTCACATATCAAATATGGCTTTAACCATTTTAGTTGTGTTTTACTGTGTTTATATTCATAAATCTTAGGAGTGTGAATGAACAAACTGCTCATATCTCAATGTCAAGTGTGCCGGAATAAATCTTTAGAGTATGAAACATTACTGCAGATCAGACGCATGCTGTTAGTGGAGGTAAAGGGTTCAAACCGCCAGAGTAACTGTGACAGATTATTAGGTCTTAAAGGACATTTACTGTTACACACGTCGCATAAACCGGAATTACAGCGCACACGCTTCATCTCACATTACACGCTGTGTGTGCATTACTCTCGTACTTAAACAGCCAAAAATGAAAATTATCCAAATATGTGCTCGCCCTCAGATCATCCCGTTTGGACTCTCATTCTGACGGCACCCATTCACTTGCAGTGAACAAGTGATGCAGTGCTACATTTCTCCAAATCCAAGACTGAAATAAGACCATTTAATGCTGCCAAAAGTGTAAAACCATCATGAAATAAATGTATACAAGAGACTAATACAGCAAAACTAGGCAACAGTAGATTAGCATAATGTTATTATACATTATATTATCACACATTTTAATTATAATGGATTCAGTATGACTTAGTGTGTTTTTGTAGCTGATGTTCTGTGATTTGAGCTTCACTGGTTTGATAGAGATGTTTTGTTAAGCTGACATCTGTCCGTTTGTTTTCTGTGCATCCCGCTCTCTCGTTCTCTCTGTTTGCATGTGGCGCTGTGTTTTTCTGTGTCAGTCTGTCATTTGAGTCAAAGTCATGGCCAGTAATTGACTGTTTTGGTCGAATCTGTAAAATTAAACAGAGGTCAGTGCTGCTCCAGAATGCCGCTGTGCGACGGAGTTTCCTCTCACACACACATGATGATGATGATGTTGTATCTTCCTCATAATGCTGTATAAAGCTGTCAGGCCGAAATGAATCAAAACACCCAAGTTCTTAATTTTCCTACTTTTTATTGTCTGTTCAACACTGTATCAACACTCAGTCAATAGTAGAGCTATAAATATGAATGCTTATTATGAAAATAGTAGTGCTTATATTTACATTTATGCATTTGGCAGACACTTTCATCCAAAGCGACTTACTTTGCATTAATTGCACACATATTATCATGCATTCCCGGGGAATCGAACCTGTGAGCCTGATGTTGCAAGTGCCATGGTCTACTGTTTGAGCTGCAAATGAAAAATGATTAGGCTTAAATGTAAGATTTGTGTATTTGAATTGCATATAAAATATCCCTTCATTTGAATGACACAGTTTCAACATTAATAAATGTAATGTGATGCAGTCATACATAAATGAAACACGTCAGATTTCTGTAATAGAACTAATGAAATGAATGTGTTTTAAATACATGTGTTTTTAAATACAGAATAACTAGGCTTATTATTAATAAATCTGATTTGTTTCAGTCTCATACATTTGAACTAATTGCGTGTTGCACATCGTCATATTTTAACCGTCTTCATACTTTTTAACTGAATAAATGTAATTGTTTTCACAATGAACAGCTTTATGCTGATTCGAAGCAATTTGAATAAATGCAAAATTAAATTAATGCAAATAGTAATAATGCAAATAATAAACTATGCTATGATTTGAGAGTATGACTGATAAATATGCATCACATTTAGTTTATTAATTTTTATTATTATCTTGATTGAGTTTTTATTTTTACATTTTCTGTTTTCATTTAAATTTTAGTTAAAATTGTATTAATTTTGTCATTGTTTTTATCATTTTTATTAGTTTTTGCTTTTTTAAATGTCTGTATAATTTTAAATAATTTTTATTTCCGTTTTAGTTATTTTAGTTCTTCAAGTTATACTAAATGAAAACGGCGACTAGCAGAAATAAAAGTTTAATATTTAATTTAATTTCAATTAGTTAGGTTTAGATTCGGGATAAGTTTGTGTTAAGTTAGGGTTATGTTCAGGTTAAGTTGTGGTTAGGTTAGGGATAAGTTTATGTTAAGTTAGGGTTAAGTTGTGGTTAGGTTAGGGATAAGTTTATGTTAAGTTAGGGTTAAGTTGTGGTTAGGTTAGGGATAAGTTTATGTTAGGTTCAGGTTAAGTTAGTGTTAAGTTGTGGTTAGGTTAGGGATAAGTTTATGTTAAGTTGCGGTTAAGTTAGGGTTAAGTTGTGGTTAGGTTAGGGATAAGTTTATGTTAGGTTCAAGTTAAGTTGTGGTTAAGTTAGTGTTAAGTTGTGGTTAGGTTCAGGTTAAGTTGCGGTTAGGGTTAATTTGGGGGTAAGTGTTTTGTGCGCTGCAGTAAAGGACAGTCGGACAGTGGCTCATAAGAGTTCAGCCTTCACTAACTACCACTTACACTGTGGATGAGATTCAGCCGGATCTATTTATAACCCGAGAATGTGAGACAGACGCTGTAGTCAATGCAGGAGATGTTTGACCAGAGTTCAGCTTTGTGTCGTTTCTCTCTGTTGTGACAGGACTGATCTTCACTGCACTGCACTCCCATTATCTCACTTCAGATGGATATCTCTGTCTCGTCAGTGGCTTTCATACATTGGAATATATGTGTACTATATTATCACACAGCTCTAATCTGATAAAGGCATGAAGATATTAAGATATTAATATACATTAACATCATAATTTTCTGTAAAGCTGATTTGAAACAATCTGTATTGGGAAAAGTGCATATAATGTATTTACCAGTCCAGTCAAGTCAAGTTTTAGTGGTATTTATCATCAATAAATACAATTTGTTTCAGTCTCATACACTGTAAAATAAAGATTTTTTTGAAGTTGGAAAATAAATAAAGATTATTGGAATATGTTTTACAAAAAAACAAACAAAACAAAAGAAATTCTATTTTAAAATTTCATGTTTAATTCAGTGTTTCACTTGATGTTTCTTTGTGATTATTTGTACATTTTTGCTAGCAGTTTTTGAGTGAAAATGGTTTCTACACCCAATTGTTTTCAGTGTTTTAGCTAATTAAATATTTTTTTTAACTTTTTAATTTAATTATTTTTACTGTGAACAGATTTATGCTGATTCTAAGTGATTTGAATACATGCATTTTGAAAATATTTAAATAAAATCAAAAAAACTTTTTTTGAGTGCACTAAAAATTATTTTTCAAATGATAAATAAAGATTATTGGAGTACATTTTATGAGAAAAACTTCAGTTTTTATGTTTAATTCAATGTTACTTCATTGTCATTTCTTTGTAATTAATTGTGAACTTTGCTAGCAGTTTTACAATTAATTAGTACATTACAATTAGTGAGTAATAGTATATTTAAGATTTATGTATTTGGATTGCATGTAAAATTTCCACCCATTTTGATTACACAGTTTTAACAAACTAATAAACTTATTTATTGAACTTATTTAAGAAAATTAACATCCGTTTGTAACTCAACAGGTGAAAAAATCACACAGATATACATTGATTTGTGCACATTTTCTTCAGGAAATGTAAAGATTTGGTTCATTTGTTGTTCATTTAGTCTTTGTGAATCTGTATGCATCAGTCCAGATACATTTATGAGCGTGTGTGTGTTTTGTAACGCGGTTGTGTTCGTGTTGTTCTAGTGATCGGTTGGTTAAACTCGGCGTCTGACTCATCATGTGCTGGTTTGAGATGGGTTAGATGATTGTTCGTCTGCTGATGCTCTCAAAGCGTCATCTGAGTGTGTTTAGTGGTGCTTCACCATCACTATTGACTGTAAACTGAGACGTGACGATGCTCTTCTTCATCCAGCAGGTGCAGCGTGTAATTCATGTGTGATTGATCGTTGGTTATGAGACACATTCTTGAATGAGCTGAGTTTGTTGATCTGAGCATCGTCTTAAATCAAAGCTGACGTCTTAAGCTGGAAAGCGAGTGTTTGATTAGGGTTTGGCGAGTTCAGACTCAATAGAGACGCCAAACCCACCAAATCAACACTTACACGCTCGCAGCTTTATTCACGCGCTCAGCCGTTTGACATACTGCATGAGAGCAGATTCTGATTAATATCATACAATGTTTTGCTAGTTTGTGAGTTGTTTTCTTAAAGCACAAGCTGTCGATGTGCATTTCAGAGCAATTTACCAAATATCTTGTCAGCCTCAGTGTGTTTTTACTAGGGGTCGACCGATAATCGGCGCCGATATTAAGCTTTTTTTATGGTTATCGGTATCAGTCATTTTCAAAACCGATTTGCCGATAAAATAATTTAAAAGCACTTAAAGACAGTTTTTGTCAGAGCCCTTGTTATTCTTAATTTTGACATCAATTTTCATTTTTACACCAGACATACTGTATATATCAGTTCAAAATATCGGTTATCGGTCTACTTGAGCTGTAATAATCGGTATCGGCATCGGCTCTGAAAAACACATATCGGTCGACCCCTAGTTTTTACCTTCTTGACCATATTTTGAGGACAAATTTGTACACTAAAGTGAGCTAAACATGACAAAACCTCAAGGAACAACCCTTTTTTTGATAGTAGCCTTTACCAAATGCATAAAAGTACAAGTTAAATCCATTTTTTTTAAAATATATTTTCGTAACTTCCATTCAGGGTTCTTTATCAGGGTTATTATCAATGTTGAAAACAGTTGTGCTGTCCAATATTTTTGTGGAAACCATCGTACATTTTATTTTTCAGGATTCGCAGACGAATAGAAAGTTCAAAAGAATAGCATTTATTTGAAACGGAAATCTTTTGTAACTTTATGTCTTTACTGTCACTTTTGATCAATTTAATGCGTCCTTGATGAATAAAACTATAGTTTCCAAAATCGCTATGATGTTATGTAGAGACGCAATGACATCAGTATCAGAGACTGCTAAATTGTCTCAAGCAATAATTTTGATTAAACAATTAAATGTCTGTCTGCTGTTATGTCCCCAACAATGCCAAAATTAAACCTACACCCTTGATATACTACGTTACAATACTACACAATAAAAAATGGTGCTAGATGACACTAAAAGTGGTTAATTGGCTTGTAATCATAGAGGAACCACTTTAAGTGCTATAGAGCACCATATTCAAAGCTGCTTCATCAATGTAAAACCATAAGAGGAACCCAATTCTCCTCCTTAGATTTTAGAGATGTCTCTCCACTCTCATCTGTTTGCTATGAATGGGAATTTATACACTTTTGAATCACTTTTATGCTTTTCTGAGGTCAAAAAGTCTTGTGTGGGGCCCTGGAATATTTCCTTATGGGGGGGGGGCCTTGGGGACAAAAAGGTTGAGAATCACGTTATCTTCAGGAAATACAATGTAATTTAATGTTGTTTTTTAATCCTTTCCCAACTAAGCTAATAGACTATAAGAGAGAGTTAAAAAACATTTAAAGAACTATACAGGGGCTTAACAGGTATGGCAGTGATGATATATAGCACCTTAACAACCCCAAAGAACTGCTGAAGAACCTATGTTTTGGTGTGTGTGTAGTATTTATGAAGCTGAACACTACAGGTCAGCATTGTGGGTCAGTGATCACCCTTCCAAACGATTCACAACACAAATCACACACGAGCTGAAGGCTACACGTGTTAAAATGTTAGTACGCATGACTAAAGAGTGCATGAGCAGCTGCGCTCCTGACAAACACAGGTGTGCATATAAATTAAAGCACACACTCATTTACTCAGCTCTCTGAATGGGGAAACTCCACAGACTTCCATTGTTTTTAATATGCAATTCATTTGCATTTACACTAGCAGTTAAAAGTTCTTTTTTTTTTTTTTTTAAGAAATTAATACTTCTCTCCTTAAATATGAAGAGTCGAACAACAGATCATCCAAATTTCACAAAAAGCTTATGGACGTAATTATAATATAAGTCAGACACTGAAGTGAGTTGCTGTTTTTGTCTCTTCTGAGGAAGATTCATTCACTTGTTTTGAACACAGAGAAACTTTGGTCAGATGTATTTAATGTTCATCCGACCTCATTTTGTAATTGACTTTTCTTTTTGTTTTAAAGATGTTTTCTTTAGATTGTTTGACTACTCAAAAGAGAACATAGGAGAATATAACTTCATTCATTTGTGTTTCCTGCTCGCTAAATTTCACATCAACAGAAATCTGTCTCTAAACCTCTCTTTTCTTTATTCAGAGTTGATCTAGATGAGTATATAGAAACTATCTAAAGTTCTGTTCATCCTAAAGCAGTCAAAACTGCATCTCTATATTTATCCTGTGTTAAGGTGTAAACGTAAATGACTCACTCAATTGAATCGGTTCCAGTGTAAATGACTCACTCAATTGAATCGGTTCCTGCGTAAATAACACACTCAATTGAATCGGTTCCAGCGTAAATGACTTACTCAATTGAATCGCTCAATTGAATCGGTTCTAGCGTAAATGACTCACTCAATTGAATCGCTCAATTGAATCGATTCTAGCGTAAATGACTCACTCAATTGAATCGGTTCCATCGTAAATGACTCACTCAGTTGAATCAGCTCCAGCGTAAATGACTCACTCAATTGAATCGGTTCGTCTGTTCCTCTTTTCTCGTCTTCAATCATGTTTACACGACACTGTCAGCACTACTACTTTCATGACATTAACTGAAATAAGTGATAAAAGTAGATTGTTTACAAATAAAATATCCATATTTCCATTCCAAAGATAACATCCAACACAAATCTATAGAGCATATTCAGGTTTACTGCTAACTAGTGAATCACTGCAGCTCAGAATACATGTTAGATGGAAACATTGTGCTTTATGCCTTAATTCACTGTATTTTAAATACTTTGACACTGCAGTTCAAAACTACCACTGTCTCTTGGATAATAGTATAATAATGTCACTGATTGTAATGTGTGTGTGTTTCTGCAGCTCGATGACTGTGCTCTGCAGCTCTCTCACACTGGTGTGTATCTGGATCTGGAGTCGACACTGGATGAGCAGAGAGATGAACTGGAGGGATTTCAGCAGGACGACTGCGCAGGGTGAGACGCACACTATATAGTGCACTATACTGCACTTGTGTTAGTATTATCCTGTGTGTGTGTGTGTGTGTGTGTGTGTGTGTGTGACAGCGGCTCTCACACAAATCACCTTGACAGATTTCCTGAGTGAGTGAGAGAGAGAGAGAGAGAGAGAGAGCGGGCGAGGGAGGTGTATGTGGTATTCTAAGTGCACTCAGTGTGATTTATCGTCTCTGTTGAGCGGCTCTCCTTCACTGCAGTATACAGACTCGCTGCACCTGAGCAGACAGCAGTGTGGTAATATCACACAGCTCGTGTGTTTGTGTTTTGAAAATGTCCAAATAATCAAAATTCTGTTTGGAAATGGGCAGAATTTAAAGTCACGTTGCGGCTGGAGTAGCTGCAGGTGGTTAAATGTAAACATTTTTTTCTATTGCTCCTTGTTTTAAAAAAGGTTATAAAAAATGTCAATAATTATCGATACCGAACGATATGAAACATTATATCGTTGATACATTTTTTAGCTATATCGCCCAGCCCTACTGCAGATTATGCTTTATTGTGACTCACATCTGATTGAAAAAGAACAAATGTGGGGCGGGGCTTGGTTCTGTGCATCACCTGCTGATTGGATGTTAAGATATGGGCGTGGCTGTCAGAGGCGTGAAGGGGCGGAGTTAAAGTGGATTTCATGATTGGAGCTGCAGACGTCACCAGAGAGCGGCAAAATCTCTGCTTGTACTGAGTTTAACATGCGCCAGGTTCAGTTTAGTGAAATGTTAAAATCTTGAGGGTATTAACGTTTGAACGAATTCAGAATATTAATATTAATTTTGTAACTTGTAGTCGGGATTATTATAGTTAACTAAAAAAATATATATATAATAAAAAACTTAAAATTATTTTATTTCAACTGGTTGCCAAGGTGATATTTCTCATTTTCGTTTAGTTTAACTTGAAGTACTAAAATAACAAACTGTTAATTAATAATTATTATATTTAATTTATTTAAAAAAATGCATTACTTGATATAAAATAAATGTTAACTAATTTAGTTCAACCTGAAGTACTAAAATAACTAAAACCAATAATTAATAATTATTATAATTAGTTATTATAATAATTTATTAAAAAAAATTAAAAGACATATTTTAACCATAAAAACATTTTTTTGTTACTTGAAAAAATGTAAATATATTAATATATAAAACTATACATACATACATATATATATATGTATATATATACATATATATGTGTGTGTGCGTGTGTGCGTGTTTGTGTGTGTGTGTGTGCGTATATATATATATATATATATATATATATATATAAAACCTAATAAGATGACATCACACAACAAAATTACTAAATCTTTAACTAAAATTAAGACGAAATGGAATATATAAAAATAAAAACAAATTAAAAATATAGCTGCAAGCAGCAATTAAGTGGCCAAGTACAACAGAGCGCAAATTCAAAATTGCGAACAATCTTGACCTGTAGAAATTTAAATTTTGGTATGCATTCGACTCAGTATGAGCCACGGAAACAGAGGAAAAAATAATTTTGCTTCTTGCCCTCAAAAGTTACTAGCAGAAACATGAGTGCAAATTTGGCCTGTTGGTGGCGCTAGAGAGTTTGAGATAGAGACTCCAAATTTGCTATGAGTAATATTGAGACTGTCCTCTATCTGTGTGCCAAATTTCACAACTTTCCCACAAGCGGTTTTATGGGCTGCCAAAGACTTCCAGAGCGAAAGAAGAAGAAGAAGCTGCTTGGTCCCTAAATATTACATATATTTACAACATGTATTTCTGTCTTTATTTGAGTAGAATTAGAGTTATTAATAAAATAAAACTACTACTATTACTACAAATTTGATTGCTAAAATTTTATTTCTACAAATCACTTTGATTGGGTTCCTAAAATACCAGTCTCAGTTTACGGATTAGAAACTATGAACATTTCCCTGTTTAAGGCTGGGATTTGCTTGCGGACTCCTGGAAGGTTTTTCTGTGATTCTAGGAAAGGTGAGTTCATGGAAAGAATGAGGCGTCTGGACTCGTATCTGCTGTAGGGTCAGTAAACACGTTCCTCACTCATCACATCTGGGAGAAAATGTGGTTTGGAAGATGTTTTGACAGGAAATGATGCGATGGAGAATCACGGTTTTATTTTGGAAGTCTGATCATGTCAGTCAAGCACCAAAAACAGTCATAATGTAGGTTTTCATGATCATTTTCATCATCCTCCCAAATGCAAACAACCTCTGATTGGCTGATCTACTGCTGTAGTTGATTAGGTGTGGATATTTATTTTAATTTTACATTATTCTGATTTAATAATTTTTATTAATTGTTTTATTTTGATCGTTTTATTTTAAAATTATTAAAATTTTACATTTTATGATTTAATACATTTTTAGTAATTATTTTATTTTGATTGTTTTATTTTTTTTTACTTTAAACCGCATAAACACATTTCATTACACCAAATACACAAAATAATGTTCTTTTTAGCAGCATCATATGACCCCTTTAACTGCTCTGACAATAATATTGAAACTATTACCATCTCTCTTGCTAACATCTCAATAACGTCAGTCTACAAACCACCAAGCTCCACTTTTGAGTGGAACAACATCCCACTACACTGCCAGAGAAAACACCAAATAGTCATTGGATAGTCAGAGGCATTGGGTCTACCGTGACGCAGACGGCAACCTGGTAGAAGAATGGGCTCAGGTTAAACGTCTAACATTAGTACATGATGCCAAGTTACCACCATCTTTTAACAGTGGCAGATGGAAACGTGGCTATAATCCGGACATATGTTTTACCAGCGATGAAATTTCCCATTTAGCAGAGAAATTTGTTTTAGATCCGGTGCCAAGAACTCAACATCGACCCATTGCCTTAAAAATAAGATCAGTCATTGAGTCAGTGGAAGTTCCTTTTAAGAGACGGTTCAACCTACGGAAAGCCAATTGGAAGGAATACACCAATTTAATGGAGTGAAACAATAGACCCCACTGTCACAAATTATGACCGTTTTACATGTTGCATCAACCATGGTCAAAACCTTTCACATCTCACAAGACCATTCACTAGAGCTGAGCTTAACTTAGCCATGAAACATCTCAAGAATGGTAAAGCTGTTGGCCCGGACGACATCCTTACTGAGATGCTTGTAAACCTAGGTGAAAAAGGAAAGTCCTGGCTCCTTGGCATGTTTAATAACTGCCTGACCACATGCAATATCCCACCAATATGGCGCAAGGCAAAAGTGGTTGCCATCCTTAAGCCGGGCAAGGACCCCTTATCACCAAAAAGCTATCGGCCAATTTCTTTGCTATGCATCAGCTTCAAACTCTTTGAGAGACTTATCCTCACTAGACTGACTCCCCTCATGGAAGAAAAGCTTATTAAAGATCAGGCTGGCTTCCGTCCAGGCAAGTCTTGTTCAGGGCAACTGCTGAACCTTACCCAGTATATTGAGGATGGCTTCCAGAAAAGACTTATCACTGGGGCTGCATGGCTTTGTAGACCTGACAGCAGCATATGACACAGTCCAGCATCGATTGATGATAAAGAAACTTTTTGGCCTGACACTTGACTCAAACTTCTGTAAAATCATACAAAGCCTACTAGCTAATCGCAGATTGTATGTGATGTTCAATGGGAAAAAGAGCCGGTGGTTCAACCTGAAGAATGGCCTCCCTCAAGGCAGCGTACTTGCCCCGACCTTGTTGAACATATATACCAATGATCAACCCCTGCCATCCAAATGCAGCAGATTTATCTATGCTGACGATCCGTGTTTAACAACTCAGCAGAAGGCCTTCCCAGACATTGAAACTAAAAAATGACCGTGAATTTAACGGTAAAAGACTGTAAAAATGCTACAGTAAAAACCTGTTAAATGGTTAATGGTAAATTCCCCTACTATATACGGTGAAAAACTGTATTGGACATTACATGTATTGGACATTAATTTTACGGTAGTATACCGTTTTTGGAAGTGAAAAAGACCATATAATTTACAGTGAATAACCGTAAATTGACATTCCCAGAATTCCCATTTACATTTCAAATTTGATGTATTTTTGTTGAAATAACTGTTTCTTCTTAATTTTTTCTTTTCAGTTTTGTACAATAGGGTTGTGTGTTACACCTAATGTTGTTAAATTAATGTTTATTGCATTATTTCAGTTTCATGTGTGTTACCATGATGGTGTTTAGTGTTTGTGTGAATGACACTGTGCACCTTCTATATATTTTATTATTTAAAAGCTGCTTGTGATGGGCTTTGTTTCATCATGTGACTTTCTCATCACCACCTGGATTTGGTGGTTATCAGTGTATTACAAAGACACAAAACAGATTTCAGTACTTCAATAGGTTGGTATATTAACATTATATCAGTTAATGAAATTACGGTATTTAACTGTAAATTTAAGTTAAAACCGTAAAACCTAAAACGTTGCTACCGTATTTTTTACGGTAAAATTCCGTATGTTCCGTGTGTTTACCGTAAATTTTACGGAATATTTTTTACAGTGTATTATAGAAAAGGCCCTATCAGAGGTGTCTGTATATTATCAGGAAAACCACCTCAAGGCAAATCCAAGTAAAACCCAACTTTGCAGCTTCCATCTTAATAACAAACAGGTAAAGAGACAGCTGAAAGTAATATGGGACGGACTAGAACTGGAAAACCATTCTTACCCAGTCTACCTTGGAGTCACCTTAGATCGTACGCTGTCCTATAGAGAGCATATCATCAGACTGAAATCAAAGTTCAGCACAAGAAATAATCTTCTCAGGAAATTAACCAACAGTCCCAAACACAATTAGAGTATCAGCTCTGGGACTATGCTACTCTGTAGCAGAACACGCGTGCTCTACCTGGAGTAGATCATGCCATGCACAAAAGATTGATGCATCTCTCAATGAAACATGCCGGATAATCACTGGCTGTATAAAAACTACTCCCACACCCTGCCTACATGCCTTGGCCGGAATAGCACCTCCAGATATAAGAAGAACTGCTATCAGCAATGAGGAACGGACCACTGCAGAGACAGATGAAAGGCATATGCTCTTCTCCCACCAAAAGCCAATAAAGCGTCTTAGGTCCAGAAAAAGCTTTATGGATACCACACAAGCCATAAGCACATCCAAGAAAGCCTTTACTGAAACTATTTGGCTTGATAGATGGAACACCATTTGTGTGGGGGCAAGATCTTGGGAAACCAGAGGAATCATCCCCGTTGAGTGTCTAGCCAGCGGCAACAATCAGAAGGCATGGAAGATGCCTACAAACGTTACATGCTTGGGGTCTCTCACCAACCAGCAAGTGCGAGTGCGGTAGCGAGCAAAATATGCAACACCTCGTGCAGTGCAGCCTCAGATCATGATCTAGCAGAGCCCAGCTACCACGCCATCAGTTGTGCTACACACTGGAAAGATGTAATATAAGATCGTAGGACACGAAGAAGAAGAAGACATGTAAATAGCCTCTGATTGGCCGATTTGCTGCTGTACTTGATCAGGTGTTTATATTTATTTTAATTTTACATTATTCTGATTTAATAATTTTTAGTAATTGTTTTATTTTCATCGTTTTATTTTACAATTATTTAAATTTTACATGATTCTGATGTAATAAATTTTTAGCAATTGTTTTATTTAAATTTTTTATATTTATATATAAAATATATTTGTAAGTTTATATTTAATTTATTTTATATTTTAATATATTTTTATTTTTTAAATTTCTATTTAATATTTTATATTTATAACTTTAATATATTGCATTTTTTCATTTATCTTTTTTCTTTTTTTATGATTTCATAATTTTAGTAATTGTTTTATATTTTGACATGGCCGATTTGCTGCTGTAGTTGATCAGGTGTTGATGTGTAAATGTAGGTGGTCACGTGTGTTCATGAGCTCATGCTTGTGTTCTGGATGAGCATCTGATCCCGTGTTGATGGTTTTGCGGGTTGTTGTCGCTGTCCTGTGATCCATCAGCTATTTTCCATACGCCACTGAGTTAAACGAGTGAGAATGAGTCAGTGTGTGTGTGTGTGCGTGTGTGTGTGTGTCTGTCTGTGTGTGTGTGTGTGTGTATGTGAGTGTGTGTGTGTGTGTGTGTGTGTGTGTGAGTGTGTGTTTTGATATTGTGTCTGTATGTTTCTGGTCAGTATCTCTAGGGCATTTCTGTTTTATTGCTATTATCTTCTGTTCTAACCGTTATTGCTCGTTTTCTCTGTGTTTTCAGGAGGGGAAAGAAGCACAGTGTGATTTTACGCACTCAGCTGAGCGTCCGTGTTCACGCGTGTATCGGTGAGTCTCAAACACACACTCACACACACATCTGAGCAAACGTGAGTGAATATGAAGCGCCAGTGATCAGTTATACAGCAGCAAGGTTTGGAATAATTCTGATTTTTTAATGTCTCTGAAAAAAGTCTCTTCTGCTCAAAAATACAGTAAACATTATTACAATTTCAAACAGCTGTTTTCTATGTGAATATCTGTTAAACTGTAATGTATTTCTGTGATGCGCAGCTGTATTTTCAGCATCATTCCTCCAGTCTTCAGAGTCACATGATCTTCAGAAATCATTCTAATATGCTGATTTGCTGCTCAAGAAACATTTCTGATTATTATCAATGTTGAAAACAGTTGTGCTGCCCAATATTTTCGTACAAATAATGATAGACTACCATTCAAAATATTTTTTTAAATAAATTAATATTGTTATTCATCAAGGACGCATTAAATTGAACAAAAGTGACAGTAAAGACATTTATAAAGTTACAAATTATTTCTATTTCAAATAAATGCTGTTCTTCTGAACTTTCTATTCATCTGTGAATCCTGAAAAATAAAATGTATCACAGTTTCCACAGAAATATTGTGCAGCACAACTGTGTTCACTAGTGTTAGTGAGTCAGGGTTGTAATCATTATGAAGCGTTTGAGCGTCTCTCTCTCCGTCTCTTTCACTGATAGTGAGTCTATTCCTGGATCGCGGGTCAAGTGTCTCATTGGCTGTTGCTGTTAGAGATCAGGGAGGGTCAAAGGTCGGGGGCGGGGCTTTGATGCCCCCTCTCATCAGCTTTATTAAAATTCACACTTGACTTCCCAGCATGCCTTTGTATGTGGTCGCATTTCCTGTGTCAGCGCAGAGGGACATTTGACACCTGTGTGTGTGTGTGTGTGTGCGTGTATGTGTGTGTGTGTGTGTGTGTGTGTGTGTCAGAGAGAGTGTGTGTGAGCGTGTGTGTGTGTGTGTGTGTGTCAGAGAGAGTGTGTGTGAGCGTGTGTGTGTGTGTGTGTGTGTCAGAGAGAGTGTGTGTGAGCGTGTGTGTGTGTGTGTGTGTGTCAGAGAGAGTGTGTGTGAGCGTGTGTGTGTGTGTGTGTGTGTCAGAGAGAGTGTGTGTGAGCGTGTGTGTGTGTGTGTGTGTGTGTCAGAGAGAGTGTGTGTGTGTGTGTTTTTCTGGGGCTTTAAGTGGACAGATGATGAGTTTTAAGTCTCCAACCACCTGCTTCCCCCTCGACTTCCATCATCCCTCTGGATTTACTGTGAGTTGTGTGTAAAATCACTGTATCACATGATCTTAAGTGCTTTACTGCTTTAATATATTTTGTGTGCACATATATACAGACAAAACACAGGATTGTGTTACTCTGTCTGCGATGCAGAAACATCACGGAATCCAGTCGTAAAACTGAAACTCATTGTGTAACGAGAAACTTCACTATAACCCATCAAAATAAAATTTGATAGAAATGTATTAGTATTGTACTGTAGAACATACTTCTCGAAGTAGTAATAATAACAATAATAATTAATATTATTAAAACTGTTGTTTATATTAATCATAGAATTATTAAATAAAAATTCTCTTATTTAAAGGAATATCATAATTTTTCTTCCATGTTTTAATTTTAACAGAAAAACTCTTTTGTGTAGCACATTGTTTGCCAAATAATAAAATTAATTGATTAATTAAATTGTTATATAAATTAAAAATGACTTACATTTCATGAATTTTAATAAAAAATGTATTAAACTGTTAATGTTTTATGCCTTCATCTGATTACCACTATTTTTGTATTAAATCATAAATTAGAAAAATTTAAGAAATTAAGACCAACAACACCAGATTTCTGAAAAAATAAAATGTATATTATAGGGCCCTAGTATTGTAAAATAATAATAATAATAATAAATATATACACAAATAAATAAATAAATAGTTTAAGTTTTGTGAACTCAGTTGCTTAAACATGCTTTTTGAATAATTAAAATGTAATTAAACCATTAAAATGAAATCCAGAAATTTAAAATGGAAAACACAGAATTTTGGAAAATTAAAACAGTTTATTTAAAAAAATTTAGAATTGATTTAAAGCATAAAAACGGCATCCAGAAAATTGAAAACAAAAAACACAGAATTTGGGAAAAATAAAACAGAATTTGGGGCGAAAAGCAACACATATTTCATCCCTGTAGTGTGCTGTGGCCTCACTCGGTTGTTTGGACCGAGTGAAATCCAGTAAGATTGTGTTTTTATTTCTTAAGCATCAGGACGGATGTGATCTGGTCTGAGTTCATTGTCGTCTCGGCTCTGATCACACTCGGGAATGTCTTAATCGTAATTAATCTGAGAGCAAGAGAGTGCGAGAGATTGACTTTCATCTCCGTCCAGACAGCAGGGTTTGAGACGGTGACAGTCTGGTTTCCATGGCAACGGTTACCGTGACAGAATGACTGTCTTTATACGCTTCAATCAACAGAGCGGATGAAAAGCTCATTGATTATTAAATCATAAATGGAAAACGAAAATTGATACATTATTTCAAATGTAAACAATCAAAATAATGACAAAATAAAATAACAATAATAATAACAAAGTGTGAACTGTGAACATGCGAACGTTTACAAAAAGTTAAAAATGTACTAAAAATGAGCAACTCATTATCTTCGTTAACGTTAGTTAATAAAAATACATCTGTTCATAGTTAGTTCATGTTACATAATTAAATAATATTAAAAGATGCAACTTTAGATTTAAATAATGTATTATAAATATTGAAACTAACATTAACTAAGATTAATAAAATGTTTTAGAATTTTTTTCATGTTGTTCATGTCAACTAATATTAACATTTGTGTTTCCATCAGGGTTATTATAGTTAACTAACACTAAAACCAGAAAACTACTTTTGTTACTTGAAATAAAACTTTTACGGAAATGAAATATTTAAAAAAAAAACTAAAATTATTTTATTTTAGCTAGTTGCCACGGCAACATTTCTCATTTTCATTAACTTGAAGTATTAAAATAAATAATACTAAAACTGAAAAAAAAACTGCATAGACATGAAAAAATGAAGAAAAACGACAAAAACACACAACAAAATTGCTAACACTTTAACTAAAATTAAAATGAAAACAAAATTTAAAAAATATAATATGAAATATAATTAATCCTGGATAAAACAAAAACTGTGTCCGTCTTCATTTCAGGCTTCTAAGCAACAAAATGTGATTCTTTTCTAAACCCACTGCATTAATGTAGTTTTGATGGACTGAATCCAGCGTGACCGTGTTATTTGAGAGAAGTGTTTTCGCTGAAGTTGATTACGTAATATTGACTGTAAACAAACAGCCATAACTGTATCTGAACTGAATCTGTTTTCTAACGTTTTGAACTCAAGTGATTCATAATGTGATTCGTTCATTTGATTCGAATCATCTGCTCTTTTGATTTGAGTCCATCAAAATCCAAATAGAAAAGCAGCTTCATCAGGTGATTATGGAGTATATTTCCTCAGTTTCTAGCCAGTGTAACTCTATTGTGACGTGTGCTGTGCTGAGATTCGGCTCGTGATGTCTGTAATGAATCAGTTGCTCTGATATCAGAGCTCAAGTGCCTCTGTAACTGATATAACGGGGGTAATTTTAGCAGTCGCTCGATGTTTTGGATGCCATGAGATGCCATCTGCGATATCTTTAGAAAGTGTTGACAAGACAAACATGTGAAAGAGAGTCTGCAGCGACGCAGAGGAAGAAAAGAGAAAGATTTAATTACCTGCTGGATTACACACGGATCGTTCAACAAACAACGCACTAAATAGAGTCTGAAAATCAGAAAAACTATGCATTTTGAATTTATTATATTATTATTTAATATATTATATTATTATTATATAATGTATATTTTTGAATTCAAGTTTAAATATCAAACTAAATATTATAGGAATTATTATTTTACTTTTTACTTAATTATTTTAATATATATTAATATTTTAATATATTAATAATTATTTTTTTGCACAGAATTTTAACCTACATTTTTAATAAATAATACATTGTAATAAATTAAATTAAATTGAATGTTTATTTATTAAATATATTGACTTATAAACTGGATTTATAAAATGTTTATTTAATATTTTAATTTCATGTGCATATATATATATGATATAAAAAAGTCAAAATAAAGTGATAAAATTATTTTCAATATAAAAACTTTAAATATATGTTTTTAAAAACACTGATGAGACACAGGGTCTAGTCCATCAAATTCTCACAATTATTTAATCCACACAATTGTTAATTCCACATCTGTGTAAAGAAAGAAATAACTTACTGTTTACTCTTTGTTTAGTTTTTTATGGGCTGACTGTTTCACTGAGACACTGTGTTTCTGTCAGTTTATGAGCCTCTGTTGTGTGTTGAATCCACGTTTAGCTGACTTTCCTCTCTCAGACTCAGATCAAAGCGGCTCCACATCCTAAAGCTGAGAAATGGAAGTGACACGTCCACAGAAACCACCTGACCATTAGCATACTGTGTGTGTGTGTGTGTGTGTGTGTGTGTGTTTTATCAGTCGCGTTCAGCTGTCGTTCGCAGGGCATTGGATGTGATGACATCATGGCATTCTGGGTCACAGCACGCATGAAGGTGTGAAGTCTGGGAACTTTAGTGAGAATGAGTGTGCCTGTTCTCTCTCAGGTCCAGTTGTATGTCTGTTATCTTGAGTGTGCCTGTTCTCTCTCAGGTCCTGTGCTCTGTCTGTTATCTATACGTGGGTTATTTTGAGCCCTTCAGAAGCATGTGACGGCAGCACAGGAAGTGCCTTATTGGAAATTAATAATATCTAAATATTTTCAATTTGACCCACATTTGATTTTTAAGCTGCTTGAAAACCCAGGTTCAATGCTTTATTTCTTCTTGAAAGTTTGTGACTTTTCCTCATTTAGGATCCTGAATGTGCAAGTAAAGTTTCGTGTTTTGGAAACTTTGCTGTTCATATTTTGGTGACTCTG